ATCACTTTGCCTTGGTTTAGCTTGTTTGGAATGGTAGGAGGTCAAAGTGCACGATGGAACTTTTAGTGTGTTCTAACAGGGTCCACAGGGCCAGTTAGTGCACAGCAAGCTAGTGCGCTGTAGATTCACACTCTGGCTGGCCACGCATTAAATCACTGTGTAGACAAGCCATCAGATTGACTGAGCGTGTTTGGTCGTGGCTTGATCTCCCCATGAGAACCGAAACCAAGGTATTTTCTCGTCCCTCTATTCCGATTCCAGGTCCTTACCTAATGAATCCTTAAGGGCATGGGTGAGCTTGCTCTGCCGGAAGGGGACGTGGTCCCTCTTACGATCAGCCAGTGCAATGATGGCTTGCTCAAGGAATGACAAAGATTTGTTGATATATGTGGCTTCTTTCAGAACCTGCCCCTCGGACTGCAAGAAAGACCAAAAGGCAAAAAGTTTCCACATGCATCTTTCTGGGTGAACTGCGAAAGAGTGTGTCCCTCACTGAGCTTACAGCTCTGATTGAAGTGGAGGATAAATGAGATGATGAGTCCAACACAGACTAACTAAGAGATTCTAGATCCTGAAGGGCTTCCTGCAATTTGAGAGCAAGTTCTTCAGGGCCGTGATTTGGCAATAACAAGTCTGCCAGACTATTGGCTTTCCTAGTTCTGAAAGGGGAAATCCTCCCTTTGTCACAAGGCTGCCCGGGGATTTCTTGCTCAACACAATATAGTATATCACAGGGGAGCACTGAAGGTTTAAGTTGTTCCCTATTCTTCCAGAAAGGCGATTGCATCAGTCTCCGTAGTATCACCAGAAGCAGAAGGATTTCTGCTTTCAGTGCAGTTGCAGAATGAAGCTGAATTACAAAGAGTTCCCCATAAGGCGGATGGCTCAGTCTCTTGCCTAGACTGAGCAATGGCATTGTCGGAAGGAATGATCGAGCAGAGAGAGTTGCCTGGAGGATGGAGTTTTGCACATTTGGACTTGATAAAAAGACATTCCAGCTACTGAAGATAACCGAGCTCCTCTGATGCTTTCATGGGGTTGAGATTTGTCATGGTTCCTCCTATCTACTGACCAGGGGGTTGATTCTTGTGTCAAGCACAGATTCTGAAAAATCTTCAGCTCCTCATGTGCAACTGTGGTAAGGGGTTGCTGACACATACTTAAGGATTAACAACTGAAGAGTATATCTAACACCAGAATCAAGCCCCTTCTCGTCCGGACACGATTCCCAGAAACAAGCAAGAATAAAATTCTGTTGGCTAAAGCAGAAATATAAATTATGTTCACTAGCAGCCTCCTTTAGAGGTAAATGTTCAATGTGACATAAAGGGAGTTGAGTTTTGCTGTTTCCATTAACTGTAGTGGGAAAGTCCTCTGACTCCACAGGCATCACTTTAACAACTGGACCCATCTCTTAGAGAGCAAACATTTTTTCCCATCTGCTTACCCCAGTCTTCCCCAGTCTTTCTGAACCTGCCAGATCCACTAGGTTAATTTTTGAAGCAGTGTATTTGGCATCTGACAAAATTCTGGAATGAGACTGGGAAAAAAATTGTATTTAACATTACACACAATTGAAGTAGAGTACACATTTCAATTCTAAAGACCCCTAGGTTTCTGAGCCCCCAGGAAACCTGCCAGCGGACTTACCTCAATATAGATAGTGAATATGCAATGGGACCTGGATGAATTTTTATTCAGAGTATGTTCACCTATTATTCTGTTGGTCTCACCCTGAAAATGAAGTTAAAATGGAGGACATTATTTTTATTAAAAAATAAAATAAATACTAGTAGAATAAATGTGAAAGGAAGACTATTGAAGTCACCGTTAAATAAACAATGCTTGTATCTTCAATATGTAGAAATAATAATAAAATTGGTCACTTATCCACAGCCTTCTATCTGAGGCGCTCCCAACATCTGTCTATGGTAGGCATTTCTAGCATGGCTCTCGAAGCACATTACAAATATTCCACTCATGAAGACAGGTAAGGGGTCACTACTTATCTGTCACACTGCTTCTCTGAACATTCCATATTAACTGGATTCCCGTCCTTGGGGCTCAGGTTCCTAGTGTGAAAGGGGCC